TTAATAGATAGGTGGTCCCCTGTGCGCTGATAAAACCATTTGACACATTAAATGCATTTTCATCGACAACATTTTGACCTAAACCTGATTATACATCATGGGAAAATAAAAGAATAATACATTCTATAAGTCTGCGTGAGGGCCTAAATCAGTGGTAGTTTGATATATTTATACACAGCAGGGGGCAGGTTTCGACACATGGGTGAGCTTGGAGTGTACATGTGACTGCTCCTTCCAGAACATTAAAGTGGCATCCAGTCACTCCCCATGTTATCTTTTGCAGATTGATAAATACAAAACAAAATGGTATTCAGTCTTTGTGCTTTGATAGGTAAAGAGTTGCAGCTTTAGGTAAATGCCAATTCATTCAAAGCTTTAAATAAGGCAACATAATAAAATATAAACAGTGTTGCCTTTCCATTGGCACACTCTGCTTTGTACTGATCTGCTGATGGAAATCTTAAATAAGTCAGGCAGTAAGGCAGTAAATCAGTCACTTCGCTTAAAAACTGTCACGGTGGTGTGAGCAAACCCTGGCGCTGCTTTTAAGGGTCCTTAAGAAGCTAAAAATTCCTACTTTAGCCAGATGCAGTCCCCTTAAGGTCACCTATTATGCAAAATGCACTTTTTAATGTATTTTATACATAAATATGTGTCCCCGGTGTGTAAGGAGATTCACAAAGTGTCAGAAAATAAAACCCTCTCTCTTTTCCTCCTTACCCACATCTCTAAAAACTGGGGTACAACGGAGCTGATCCAGATTTGATGCGGTAATGACGTAATATCGGAAATGTGGGCTGGCTCTACGTTGAACTCCTGGCAACGTTCCGCTCCAACCTATCGTCCCCTATCAGAAACTTCGCTGTATCAGAAACAATGCGAAACGTGTTTTGGAAGTAATATGGTCTGTGTTTACATTAGCAAGCATCGCTAACACTTGGAGCTAATGCTGTACTGGAGAGAGTATGTGTAAAGAAGCCTGATATAAAAAGTACTGTCCTTGTGGTAAACCCGCAAGAGAGAAAGCGTTTGAGCTCCATACTGTTTCAGAAATAATCCTGGAGTTTCTGCTGGTAGACAGCCTTCTCTTCACAGAGCTCACTGCTTGCATGCGAGCGCTCCAAAGGGGCGTGGCCAGCAGCGGCTCGGTTACTTTTAAAGGGCCAGACTCAGAATCAGCACTTTAGTAACAGGGATGAAATATAGGGGTATGAGGCATGCTACAATGGGTGATCTGTTTGGTATTTTGAGCAAAACACTTCAGAGACATGTTTTGTATAGATATGGTCAATAATATATTGTTCAAATATAGCATAATAGGTGAGCTTTAAGTAATGAGCCCATAGTGCTATCAGTGTGGTTCCATTCACCAATCAAATTTGTTTCAAGATGCAGTTTTCTGATTTTATGTAAGAACACGATGGACATATTTGTACCACTACATGTGACTTTAAACATTGAAATCCATCTTCAGCGCACAACTTTAAAAGGTATAAAATGTAACATTTCCGCAAATAAAATGTCAATAAAAAAGACTAGTTCTACGTAACATACTTTGCTTAGTTGTGTACATACAATATGCAAAATGTTTTCAACCATTTTCAAATATAGAGAAGTCCTTAACCGTTTTCTTTAAGTCATCTGTAATGGTGTTTCCCCTTTGCAAATGCGGTCATAAATAGATTTTTTGCCACATTTTTCAAGATCTTCTTGAGATTTTGTTTATTATAACTATATATATTTATACCTAATGAATAATTTAGTTTAAGGGACATTTGGAACTTACAAGCAGTTAGCTTCTGACCCTCATTGTAGAGAGGACACCTCTGCTGATAATTTGGCTCATGGTAAAAACCTTCTAAACAATGACCAATTTTAACTGGAAGCAGACTGCAAACAAGAAGTGGATATAGCAACCATGAAGTGACCCATTGGCCAGTGACACATAATAAGGAAGCTTTTTTGTCTTTAATATAAAAGCTGCATTCAAATCCCGTGAGAAAGGTGGCCACAAAGGTGGCATGGTGTTGAAGCCTCAAATGTAGCACTTTCGGCCATCTGGTTTCTTGGCCTCATCATCTTGGAGAGAGAGGGTGAAGTATAGGGATGGGTATCGTTAGGATTTTATCGATACCGATACTGCTTATCTATGCCGGTATTTTTCGATACTCTTATCGATACTTTTCAATAATTTGGCGCTCAATCATAAGTATAGACATGATTACAAGATGTGAAGATTAAGTCATTTTATTGTAATTTATTTTATATATATTATTTAATGTAACTTTTTCAATGTCATACCAAGCAGGTATGAGTGTGTTTGACAGTGTGTCTCTGGAAGGGGGGCGGTAATTGGGGGCAGTTCATAATTCCATGTAAACATTACCATTATTCAGTTAAAACGAGATCCTGCGAGCGCACCTCCTAAACCGGAAGCTCCCGTCGACTAAACATTATAATCCGTTTATTTCGTTTATTATTTATAATTGTAATGATGGATTATCAGTAATCATTTTAAATTTACACAGAGACATTGGATTAACCATTTTTATGCCCTTGATCACAAAACAGCAAAGGCAAGACATCATTATCATCATGGCTACGTCAAGTAAAGTTGTTTACTTGCTCTTTCCTGGCTGCTAGTTCAGTGAGTTTTGGTCGTACAGTGATGAGACTTACACCAATGGAATCTCAGCTTTCATGTGATATGTTGTTTGTGCAGATAAAATGACGTAGAAAAGATCGCTTTTGCCAGTTATGTGCTAAAGTAGCCGTTAGCCCCGTTAGCCCGTTTTGCCAAGTGTTGATTTAGACTCTTGGTGTTGGACTTCTGTTCTGTGTAGGTAAAATGGTTAATATCGTCTGTTAGCTGAGTTTCTTCCCGTTAAGTGGGTATGCATAATTATTAGGTTGTTAAATGTTAAGAAGCCTTGAAACGCTGTTTCTAGCAAGATGTTGCGTCTGCCCCTGCTAAGGTCTGCCCCCGGGAGACTCACAATAATAAGAGCGCTGTTAGGAGAGATGACAAGTGGCATTCACAGTGGCCAATCAGAGTGGTACTCAAACCGGATACGTCACACGGGATGAGGGTTCCCAACCAACCAGAATTGTTTAAACTAAGGAAGTAGCGTAATTGATATACCGATAGCAGCACCATTTGTCCAGCGGCTTAACGGTATACCAATACCGTCCAATCAGGTACCGGTACTGACTTAGTAGCGGTTCTCGATACCCATCCCTAGTGAAGTATAATAAAAACAAATACTGGAGAAGAAACATTTCAGGCAATCAAACCGTTACAATTAACTTCCATGTACTCAAAACAGACCATCATTTACAAAATAAATATGCTAAATTAAAGATTTGGAGCTCGTGATTGAGATAACTCACTAGAAAATGATTTACTGTGGTATTTCATTGTGTAAAATTCATTTTCCTAGAGACTTATATACAAGTGGACCTGGATATTAGGGATTCACATCCGCAAGATCTTTCAGGAGAAAATGAGTGCAGTGGCAGCAATGGTGGTTAAGACAACAACTCCCATGATTACGCACTACTTCACTATGCTAACAAACTCTATATTTTTAGCAACGTAAGTATTAATTGGCGCCCTGTTAATGAAAGCAGGTAAGTTAACATGAATTACAGATCGACCTTGCTAACCAAGCTAGCAAACCAGCACTAGCGTTAGCTGGTAATTTAGTGCTTGTTATGCTAACAGTACCTAGCATCGCCTGGCCTCCCTCCTCTCCAGCTCCTAAAGTACCTCTCCTCCATGGATCATGCAAAACAAAATGGTGACAACCAAAATGGAACATTTGAGGCATGAAACAGTAGTCTACAAACCAATGGCTGATGTCACGGTAACTTCTGTACATTTACTTATTCAGTCTGTGGTTTTCAACTTGTTGTGCTGACAACTTCCACAAGATAATCACTAAACAATCTATTTATAAAGCTTAAGGAATCATTTTCATTAAAAACTTGTTGAAAATATTTCTCGTGGTTATTAGGGCACACCCGAAGTATCTACAGTATATCATCTCAGCGAGAGAAGCGTGACATCACTTTGTGTTTATCCTCTAAATCTAGCCAAATACAGCTTTAAGACTCCAGTTAATTGGAATGAAAAATAATGTGACTTGTGCTTCCAGGAATAATGCCACTGAGCACCGTTTGACAGTTTGTACATAGTCAAAATATAACAAATGTAACAATGAGCAAAATGGTGCTCGTACAAATTAAGAGTACAAATTGATAACACAGAAGTTCTTCCAAAACCTTCTGGTGTTCATCTCAACAAACAAAACACATGTGCTAGACCATGTTGCGCATTAATAACAGTACATCAATACAATCTTGCATTTGTATATAACTCTGCAAAGAAACGGGGTAAAAGGCCTATCTGAGCTCTAGTGTTGGCAGGAGAAAGGACTTCCCGCTGTGTTGGGAGGGAATTCTTCTCAGCAGGGCCATTTGGACGGAGGCTGTCTTTAATATAAAAGCTGCATTCAAGTCCCGTGAGAAAGGTGGCAGTTATGAACCTACTACTCAAAAATATTCATATTAAGTTGCAGGTTGGGTTTGGTTTGGACATCCTGAATGAAGATCCCATTGACTGGAATTTTCCCAGAGTCAAGTGAACTAATGGCTTGTTCCCTTCAAACACAGTTGCTTCAATAAATAATGTCTTTGCGATGCTAAATCCTACGAGTATTGTTTAACCACTGGCTAGATGTATGCCTAATGTATGGCTTGCTCTTTACATGGGAAAAAAGATAAAAAGAGGCAAACAATTAGTTCTACTGCTAACACGTTAATGTTTGAACTGCAGGTTAATTACTGCAAATATTACCAAACAACATGAACGCAGCAAAGCTTTGCTGATTATTAAAAACTGATCATGTGTTTAAGGTCTTTAACAGCTGTCTTAAAGTAGCGTATTTACAGTTTATATATAGGTGCTGGGTTTTCTTCTGGCTGCTTGTGCTTGTTTTCCCACCCGACTGCGTGCGTGGCGGTTCTGGAGCGCGGCTGCGGGGGGGTCTGCGTCGCAGAGGAGGGGGAATTGCAGTTGTCCTGGTTGTGGTTGTCCCGCGCTGCAAGCCTTTTGCCCTGCTCCTCCTTCATGAAAAGCTCCACCATGAGAATCTTCTCCTTGTGCATCTGGAGACTGATGTCCTTGGGGATGTCCGGGATCAGCCAGTCCACAAAGTCACTCATGAGCATCACCACGTTCTGCAGAGGGGGGGCAGAGAGAAGATGGGAACACCTCAGAAATTAAAGCATGGAAACACACAGCCTAGTAACATAAAGCCAAGCTAAATAACTATTGTCCAACTGTTGTTTATTTGTGACATGCTGACACAATTTTGTGTGCCCAGATAAACCTCAAAGAAGGGCCCTTTTTCGATTACTGTTTTACTAATCAATAACATAAACCAAAAAAAAAGAAGAATCCTGTGTCTAATACATCTTATGTGGTACTTTTTCTAATTGTGTGCTTAGTAAGTATTATATGATCTGTGAGTTATGTTAAACACAGTTTATGGCTCATAGTAGTAGTATCTCAGCAGTACAATATCAGCGTCTTCCTATTGCCCGTCATTACTGAAGCATTGTGCCTGAAGTCTTCAGCATTGTGCCTGAAGATCATCTGCCGTGCCTGGTAGCAGAAGTAGAGGAGACTTAAACTTAATTATTAATGTCTTTTAAACAGCTAACATCAGCTAACTTAAGCCATCATTGGCTACTGGTCAATCCAGAACAAGTTGTATCTCAACTAATCATTGTTAGGATGAGAATGTGTTTCTTTTCATTTGAAAGAGTAATTTTTGTAGGTTAGCAGCTAAAGCAATGAGGTCCACTACATTAGCTATCCTAGCTTTTTTCCCTGTTGAGTTATTATTGAATATGTTGGATCCAAACTGTTTTGCCTTAGTGATTTTGGCTTAAGAACAAGTTAAAAAAGATTTGTCACGATAATTTTTAAAGAATATTATTTCGATTGTAAAGATACATCCTAAGCGGGACATTTTACAGTATAACAATGAACTAGTTGGTGCACCGCAGTGGACAAACACTCCAAGGTCCAACTGTCTCATAAAACATTTTTCTCAAAAAACAATTTTGAGAAGCTGACCATCTGCTAACAGATTGTACAAGTAATTTAAAATCTACAAATACATTTCAGAAAGGAAGTCCAACCAAAACAGAGCAGATGTCAAAAGATATACGCCAGGAACAACATGGTTTGATTTACTGTAGGTTAGAAATGTAAATAAGGCATAGCTAATAGGCATGATAACAAATAGCGAGTTATTGTTTTATTTTAAATTGACAGTGGTACTCTCCTTGTTTGGAGAATTTTTTTTAATAAATCAAGTTAAAATAAAAATCAAGATAATTCAAATGAACTGAAGGGAAGCAGACAGCCTGTTCCCTTTAAAGACCTTTCACATTAAAGTCTGCAGAGAATCCCTCAGTTACATCACTCACTCACACATCTCATCAGACTAGGCCAAGGCACACNGCTAAGTGTTGATTTAGACTCTTGGTGTTGGACTTCTGTTCTGTGTAGGTAAAATGGTTAATATCGTCTGTTAGCTGAGTTTCTTCCCGTTAAGTGGGTATGCATAATTAATAGGTTGTTAAATGTTAAGAAGCCTTGAAACGCTGTTTCTAGCAAGATGTTGCATCTGCCCCTGCTAAGGTTTGCCCCCGGGAGTCTCACAATAATAAGAGCGCTGTTAGGAGAGATGACGAGTGGCATTCACAGTGGCCAATCAGAGTGGTACTCAAACCGGATACGTCACACGGGATGAGGGTTCCCAACCAACCAGAATTGTTTAAACTAAGGAAGTAGCGTAATTCATATACCGATATCAGCACCGTTTTGTCCAGCGGCTTAACGGTATACCAATACCGTCCAATCATGTACCAGTACTGACTTAGTACCGGTTCTCGATACCCATCCTTAGTTATGATAAAACTTTTTTTATTTGCTTAAGGTTTGTTAACACTATGTATTTCCATCATTATTTATAATATTTGACTTAGAGATTTATATCATCCTCAGGATGAGTCCTTATTATATGTACTTTATGTACACTACTAGCAAATGTTAGCATGCTATGCTAACATTCGTAACTAGGATAGTGATGGTGTGTATTAATCTATGAATCATTAACATCAGTTGCTAATATTAATGATAGCATGTTGCCATGCTATCATTAACATCTCAAAATACAAACACAGAGATGCTGGCTTGTTTCCATTACAGTTCCTCTTCCTGAAATAACTCCTTAGTCTTTAAACTATGTTTACTATCCCCCACTTCATTTGACTCTCAAATGTATCCATTGTGTAACCCTTAAATCGAATAAAATTTTCAAGACTGGCAGCTCACTATAAACGGTTATTTTATGTTATTCCTGAATGCCTAACCTCTGACATCATTACACTGTGTTTTTACCATGTGTTGCCATCTTTGTTGACAGTCTCCCCAGCAGGAATAATGGTGTCTTTATCATAGCAGGGACAGCGTTCCCTGGACACACACTGGCTCTCCTCGGTCATGTAGGTTCCCTCTGCACAGCCGCAGCCGTCCACCGCGGTGAAGCTGCTCTGGCAGGAGTAGTCGGTCTGGCTGAGGGAACGGCAGGTGCGCTGGCAGCAGGTCATGGTGTAGTCATACACAGTTTCTCCTGGACATGAGTCACTGAATTTTCCTAGTATGAGAGATACGATTTGAGAAGTAGCAAAATAGTGTATGTTTAATTAAATACATTTTTCATCCAGGTTAATTATTTGTTGACATCGATAGGGTGCACTCACCACAGATGGTGTTCCTCCAGCCTTTAAAATGGATTCCTGCAGCTGCACAGGCATAAACATAAGCGGAGACTGCAGCACACATGCTTTCCTCACTGTTCTCACAGTTACAGCTGTCATATATGCAGTTCTGGGAGGAGACACAGTCAACATTGACATTTAACAGTACATTAGTGTTGTTGTTTAGTTTTTTGTCATTACAGATTTTTGTGTGCAGACCTACATCTTTGTACATGCTGGGGCTAATTAAGGAATGGCAGGAAGCAAACAGTCCCTGGGGATCGGTGAGTTTGGAGCACCAGTACTTGGCATAACTCTCTGAGAGACAGAAACATACAGGAATTAAGTATTTACAAAACACCACATGCCCTGAAAATGTCATGATGAAATCTGAAAAGTGGCATGGTATGCTGTCACATGGTATGACCATCTACATTACACCTTATGAGGTGTCAAAGACACAAGTCTAGCTCTACCTTTGTTGATGCTTTGGCGACAGGGGTGTCCAAATCCTGCTATAATGTCGGGGCACTTGGCTCTAGTTTTCCATGAGTTGCCAAAGGCTGGAGAAGTAGCTTCTACCAGCCCACTAATCACCTTGAAGTCATCACTCATTTTGTTGTTGAAGTTCCCACACAAACCTGTGGGGTGAGGTGATACATTATTTCACAGAAACCTGACATGACATGTGAATTATTATTAACAGAAACATGTTAGAACCAGTAATTTAATGTAATACTATGCTGAAATCATAATGTCAAATCAAATGTCTATCCAGACACTGAAACAATAATGTAAGCCATACCAGAGGTGGTTCCTTTCAGAGAAATGTCAGCGGAGATGAAGACCTGCATCACCGGGGACAGCTGGACCATTACTTGAATGCCCACCTTGATGTCCATGAAGATGTAGAAGGAAGACGGACTAAAGGCGCTCAGCATCGCTGCGGCAGGCAGAACACACAGGTGTCAGTATTCTGCGATATTTATAACTTGCAACTAATAACTCTGAAGTTTGTATTTAAATAAAATAAATAAAAATTTACAGCTGTCTCTTAATCATTGTTTGTTCAGTAACTCACGTGTAAACAGTGGAAGCATAGAGGCAATCTGGTTCACATAGACCTGCCCGGTAGCCGTCATTTTAATAACCTGAGAGTTTGTGGAGGGAGACACAGATTATGAAACAGGAGTCCAACAATCATCGCATCTTTTGTGTGTGTGTTTAGGGGAGACACTCCTTTATCCTCCTTGTAAGATTATCTCTATTTGTAGGGTTGATAATAAATAGATACAAAGTAGACAATAATAACAAGAAATAAAAAAATAAGCTATGTGCAAGTATACATTCTCTTAAGAGTTGCAGTCTTACAAATTATCGGCTTCCAACAATGTCAGATAAATATGTTTTATTTTATTGCTCAATAGACAATACGATTTTATCATGAGTAATCTTCTTCTACTTAGTGGTAGGTTAAACCTCTGAAATACCGAAAAAAAAGTCTTCATGGTACAAGCATATATTCATCACAAAGAGCAGAAAGGGTGACTTCCATTCCTTTTACACTTGTTGTTGCAGCTAATGAAAAGGTGCCGATGACAGACATGATTTCACAGACGTGTATGTGTGTGTGTGTGTGTGTGTGTGTGTGTGTGTGTGTGTGTGTGTGTGTGTGTGTGTGTGTGTGTGTGTGTGTGTGTGTGTGTGTGTGTGTGTGTGTCTGAGAGAGTCTTGCTCTCCAAGCTGTTTACTTAATAAATGATTGGTCTCTAAATGAGGAAGGGTCAGTGAAAGCAGAAACACAATGACATCGTCTCGCTCGGTTGGATTCAGTATTGAGGTCGCCCCCCCAACACACACACACACACATGCATGCACACGCACACACACACACACA